TGGAAACAACACAAATATACTGAAATATGTCTGTACATAAATGCCACGTACGATCAATGATCGAGAACGCACATACGCGGTTTGTTGTTTGAGCATCAAAATAAAAGACTCTCACATGCTTACTGTACAACTCCTGTACGTGACTAAAATCACGCTCTTCAGAAACAATTGAATATGACAGAGCTCGTGTTTTAAAGCAAAGCACACACTGGAATGAATAATTCACTAAAAATGCAATGTGAGTCTATATTTTCCATAGACAGTATTAGAAGTGGACAGAGCCATCTCATTGGAACTCAGTTGAGACAGTTGAAGCCCATTTTTAGCGATTTTTGAGCACTTCCGTTCCTGACGCGCAGACTCAAACCGACTCAAACTAAGCTTGATGACGTGAGCAACCTGTCTGACAGACGTTAATCTTCTAGTAGCTGTGCGTGGAAACTGCCAACGTTAATCTTGCAGAGACAGGGAACTTGAGCAAAGAGTTCTTTGGCGTGAGTGAGCAGGAGTAAGTATTCCGTTGCTTTTATGGACTCATTATCTATGGGCTTCTCCCTTGACAGGACGTCCCCCCGATTGCCTGCGAGCTTCTCCTCCTGTCTGTACGGTAATTTCTGTACAGTGCGACAGAGAGTCGAGTGGTTATGACGCAATCGTTAGCCTATTTTTACTAAATCTGTTTCTACGGGGCCATAATGTAACATAGAAGGTAATGGAGCCCTTTATACATTGTCGTGTTTCTTTAGAAATAAATAATGGACAAATGGAGTCTTTAAACGCCTCAGATGTAAAGTTATACGCTGTCAAAGTGACGCCAAAATGAATGGGAGTCAATGGAAATGCTAACGCAAGTGAAGTTCTGCTACAACATGGCGGCACCCGGCCGGCTTCAACTTCCGGTCGATGGATTACCTCCTTGATATTTTCTCTGATATCTCTGATGTAATCAGGTTGTCGCTCCTCTTGTGACATCATGGACCATCGTCATCCAATGAATTGCTGTGTTTTAGACATGAATGCTGAGGGCATTCCCCATAGCATCATTATCAGACACAGCGTTGAAGAACCACTTTGAAAGGGAAAAGATTCATCTCACCACACTACTGAGGATCCTATAAAATCTCTTGATCATTTTCTTTTCTGAAATAATGCAAGACCTCCTGCCTAGGGATTCTGTACAGATGAATTTGAATTGCATATATCTTCTAAAAGTGAAATATCAACATTGATGAGTACACTAGCACATAGATGGCTTCAAATCTAACCTACATGAACTAAAAGCCACATACTGTAACTCTAATTTTGATTTCATGGGGTCTTTAATCCCTGACATCTCTTTTTCAGCTTTTGTTTTCTGTCGAAACCGGAGAAATTAGAAAGAAAACTAAGAAATCTGTTGTGTGGCAATCCCATCCATTGGTGGTTCTGCTTTAGAGGATTGAGGAATCATTCTCCTGCAATTAGTCTCTTGCTCTGGAGTCTTCTGTAGAGATTCCCTATGGAACGACTGCCAGCGCTTTGAGAGCATCTTTAGTGTGCACCCAACCAGTAATGCCACACAAGATGACATTTTGCACTTACAGGAGAAATGACAAAAACTAATGTTAATGTTCATTGTTGTCGATCTGAATTAAATTCAGCCCCATTGCAGTTTCTGAACGTACTCTTTATAAGTACCCTAAACACTGCAGTTCAATGAAAATAGACTGGTGTATAAAGGTGTTAACCTGGCCCTAGCCAGATGAATTTCGCTCCGCCTAGCTTCACTCACATCCATCTGGAACCTCTTCCATTGAGAGTGATTTCTCCAACCAACTTTATGGTTTAGCCAATCAGGACGCAGGGCGGGAGTTTCATAGATGTGACGTAGTGGAGAAGCGACCGTGAGACTGTTTTGATTCCATAGACAGTATAAGAAGTGTACAGAGCGATCTCATTGGAACTCAGTTGAGACAGTTGAAGCCCATTTTTAGCGATTTTTGAGCACTTCCGTTCCTGACGCGCAGACTCAAACCGACTCAAACTAAGCTTGATGACGTGAGCAACCTGTCTGACAGACGTTAATCTTCTAGTAGCTGTGCGTGAAAATTGCCAACGTTAATCTTGCAGAGACGGGGAACTTGAGCAAAGAGTTCTTTGGCGTGAGTGAGCAGGAGTAAGTATTCCGTTGCTTTTATGGACTCATTATCTATGGGCTTCTCCCTTGACGGGACGTCCTCCCGATTGCCTGCGAGCTTCTCCTGCTGTCTGTACGGTAATTTCTGTACAGCGCGACAGAGAGTCGAGTGGTTATGACGCAATCGTTAGCCTATTTTTACTAAATCTGTTTCTACGGGGCCATAATGTAACATAGAAGGTAATGGAGCCCTTTATACATTGTCGTGTTTCTTTAGAAATAAATAATGGACAAATGGAGTCTTTAAACGCCTCAGATGTAAAGTTATTCGCTGTCAAAGTGACGCCAAAATGAATGGGAGTCAATGGAAATGCTAACGCAAGTGAAGTTCTGCTACAACATGGCGGCACCCGGCCGGCTTCAACTTCCGGTCGATGGATTACCCCCTTGTTTGATTCAGACAACAATGGCGGCTCGCATCGAGGAAGCAAGCGTTAACATTGATGCTGCTATTTCATCCGTGTTGTCCAATCTACCTAATATTGTTTAATTAAAAGAACATCAGAGAACGGCTCTTAAGGCTTTTGTTGGTGGAAACGATGTTTTCGCCCTTCTCCCGACCGGAGTGACTTCGGTGTGAGTGGATGAAATAGCACGTCGATAAAGATGACAGACAAGTGGCTTATCCAATCATATGCAAGGATTTTTGATAAGGCCCAGCCTTCTGAAACGCCATTTCAATGGATCGGTTCCAGATGGATGAGTGAAGCTAGGCGGAGCGAAATTCATCTGGCTAGGGCCAGGTTATAAAAGTGTGGGGTTAGTTGAATTTTTTAATGTTTTTGAGTCCCTTTGAAAAACGTGCTAAACAAAGCTGCATTTATTTAATAAAGAAATACAGGAAAAACAGTAATTTTGTGAAATTTAAATTGTAATAGCAATCCATTTAGCTATATAGGTTTTAAAATGTAATGTATTCCTGTAATGTCAAAGGAAGCTGAAGTTTCAGCACCATTACTCCAGTCTTTAGTGTCACATGATCCTTCATAAATCATTCTTTTATGCTGATTTGCTGCTCAAGAAACATTTCTTATTATTATCAATGTTGAGAACAGTTGTGCTGCTATATATTTGTGTATGATATTTGTCATATGATAATATGATTCAAATTCTTTGTTGAATAGAAATATCAAAAGAACAGCATTTACTTGAAATAGACATCTTTTATAAATGTCTACTGTCACTTTTGATCAATTTAACGCATCCATACTGAAAAGCATTTCTTTAAAAAAATCGTACTGATCCCACACTTTTGAACAGTAGTGTACATGTACATGTGTGTGTACGTGTGTCAGGAAATTCCTCATGTTGGTGAGTAAACGTTATTAAAAGGTGACTTTGAATCTGTGGTTTTTCTACATGCAAACAAGCAACTGATCTAATGTGACTACCATAAACTGAAGGGGTACTGACACTTTCTTGTCAGTATTGTTGGAGTCTTGAACTGCGGGGAGATATTAACTATGACAGCCCTGCAAGAGTGAACACACACAACCCATTTTGCTGTGTGACATTTTAATTTAAGAAGCTTGGTCTGATATCAGATGCGATGACAACAGTATGCCAGCACAAGACGATTATACTGCAAACTCCTCAACATGTGTCACATCAAATACAATTATGATCATTAATTATTTGTAGGTTTCGCCGCATTTTTGGAGTATGTTTATACTTGGCTTTTCGAGAATATGGAACAAAGCCCATATCAGTAAATTTAATAGCCTAAACTGAGGAGCAATTCCTTATTAGTTTGCGGTTTCATTTTTTTAAGTCTTAAACCTTAGGAATTTAAAAAGGGGGAGGGGAAGTGTTAAATCGGTGAGATTTGACATTATAAAATTGAGGAGCTTTCCTGCAGGGATTGAGTTTAGGCCTACTGGTTAGAAGCATGAGTGTGTTCATGCCGCTGTTATTCCGGAGAAGGTCCAGGCTTAGGGATGAATCAGGGGACTTTGCTGGAAGTGCAGAAATGCGTGACGGGATTACTGGAGCCAAAGTGTCAGTGGAAAATTGGATTTTTAGCAAAGAGCCATTAACACAGAAAAAAAAATGGAATGTGAAGTTTCACAGATGCTCATTAATTTGTGGTATTAATAAATGTAAAAGAAACAATCATATGAAGTCCCAACAATTTATTATTTTCTTGATAAAAGGCGCCGTGTGTGTGTGTTGAGGGAAATGGAATGATTCAGTGGCATATGTTTAATGTGTTTGAAAGTGTGCCTGAGCCATTTGCATGTTCCTATGCCAAATAGCAGGGATTCACATAGGACATCTGCTCTCTTTTACTTTTAAGCGCTTCTCTGTTGCACATATCTAATGATCCACATTTCTAAGTGTGTGAGGCCTAGTATTTGCAGGTGTGGAAGTGTGTCTCACGTCTTCATTGTGTCTTCCTGAGCTCTTCTGGTGCTCATAAATCCACTCATGGTATGAAATAGCTGATGGCGGTCACACCTGACACACCTGTAGTAATCCAATGTGTATGCCCAGGATCCGGCAGCCTTTCTCTTGTTTCTGACATCTTATTTCTGCCACATGTAACACGAATGATACCAGCATCCCCTCGGCAACAACATATGTATACATCCGGATAAAAGGGCTATTCACATCAGAATAGAAACAATAGATTCCCATGCACCTACCCTTGTGAATATTCAACACAATTAAACACACTTCTTTTTAACAAGGATACTCCCATCAGACAAGAACAACTGACAGAAGTGTCTTTTTGTTGTTGTTGATATGCATTCAGTCTAAATTCGCCGTAAATCTCAGTATTCACTGTTCTAACGTTTCCCCTTTTTTCTTTCTCCTCCTTTAGTGAGTAAACTGAAGGTACACAAGTCCAACCAGAGTCTGCAGTTTCTGGAGGACAGTCGGGTGCGTGTCAACTGCTCCGTCACGTCTCAAACCAGCCCGGATTCTCAGCATGCCGTGCTGTGGTACGCCCGGAAGGCTGAGGCCGGAGAGCCGGATGAGCTGCTGTTGAAGATCAAACACACTGGAGCATTTGAGTACGGAGCTTACGCTGAGGAGGAACGTCTGCGCAGCCGTGTGCAGTCAGAGACACTCTCTCCTCGGCTATACGGCCTCACGCTGCATCGTGCCGAGACCAGCGACTCTGGAACATACTACTGCCTTGTGGAGGAGTGGCTCACGGACCCTGATGGAGCCTGGTACCGTCTGGCACAAGACTTCTCCGGCTTCACACATGTGGTGGTGAGACAGCCAGGTAAGAAGGTGGTTGCTTGTGAAATTGATGTATATTTTTCTATGTAAAATTTCTGTGAAAAATATATTTACTTTTTAAAAAAAAAATGTAAATGTATTTTTCTGTGTCCCACGTTTTGTTTGCAACCTTGTTACTGCATGATTTCCCATTACTAGAAAATGTGACCCAAGAAATTACATGATTTGGAGCACTTTTTTTGGTGTGTGTGCATTCATCAAGTTCATCTATTCAACACTGTTCCCCAAAGAAACGATATCAAATGTTTTCCTTCAATTTATGGGAAATTTATCCACAATTGGCTTTATGCACAGCTGCACTACTTCCTGAACTTTAGCCAGCTCCTTTGTTTCCTGTCTGCCATTATTGGACAAACTGATTAATCCAGGTGTGCCTGGCCTCAGTAACAATAATCAGGCACACCTGGATTAATCAGTTTGTCCAATAATGGCAGACAGGAAACAAAGGAGCTGGCTGAAGTTCAGGAAGTAGTGAAGCTGTGCATAAAGCCTATTGTTTCCACAAAAATATTAAGCAGCACAACTGTTTTCAGCATTGATAATAATAAAAAAAAAAAATGTTTCTTGAGCAGCAAATCAGCATATTAGAATGATTTCTGAAGGATCATGTGACACTGAAGACTGGAGTAATGATGCTGAAAATTCAGCTTTGCCATCACAGGAATAAAATACATTTGAAAATATATTTAAAGTTGTAATAATATTTTGCAATATTACCGTTTTTATACTGTATTTATCATCATAAGAGACTTCATTCAAAAACATTTTTTTTAATGGTATTGTGTTTCCAATTTTGGTGTGGTTTTCTTTCTTTTTTTCATTTATTTAATTGATTAAATTTCTCCATTTAGTTGTAAGCTCGTTTTTTTTGCAAGAAAATGACAAAATTACACAAATCATGCTTTTAAACTTTAATTTAGTGACAGGGTTCCAAAAACTGCTTAAAATGAACAAAAGCAAACAGCTCTCCTGAGATTGACGATCAACAATTTCTTTGATCAAAGATTTCTCTGAAGAATTATTTAGTCCTTTTTTTTGTATCCTGTTCATGGAAAGTGTCGGGCAGTATTTACAGTGGCACCCAACTAGCAGAGCTGGCCTTTATTCCTACAGCAGACTCGGGAGCCTTTGAGATTTAGTTGTAGGTGTTGCCTTCCCATGGGCTTATCAGGCCATCTGGCATGAGAGGATCGGAAAGAGCAGCATGAAAACATTCTCCCCCTGAGACCGCCATGGAGCGCAGCCATCCTGAGCTCATGCCTGCCCGAGCTGAATCATTCATCAGCATGTGTGCATTTATGAGAGGAAGACATAAAGACGGGAGCTTTGTACGTGTGACTCCTCAAATGCAAACGTACAGGGTATCAGCCCCTTAGGGAGCCCCCCCCCCCACATGGGCCACAGACCTTAGCAGTCACGAGGGGCAGTCAGAACCTCATAACAGACACAATCACGGCTGCCGGAGCCCAGAGGCTTTACTTATGACGGCTGTCTGAATGGCACACTGCTGCTGCTCCTCTATTCACCCCGCGCAGCTGCCCATGAAGACCCCTAATGCAAACTGCCTCGGCTATTCATCTATTCACCCCCCTCTTTGCCGATAATGTCCACTTTTTCCAGTGACATCATGACCTAGCTTCTGTATGCAGGACTAGCATGGTTCAGGGGACTATGTCTGCGAGGTTTGCACTACTCTGAGGCCACCTGTGGTCTTTGGCAGCACTGTATCAAAGCTTTGAGAAGCAGGGAAGACAGATCTCATCTCCACACAACACTCTTCAATATTACTGCCCTACACATGGGTCGTCGGCTCACCGCTGTTACACAGACACGTTTTGTTGTGTAGTTTGTCCTCGGGTCTGTTAAGCAAGTTGCTTTAGGAGCACAGGTGGCCAAGACATCTGCTCCTCTGAAACTCATCAAGGTCAAGAAAAGTGTGTTTTGGCACACTTTCTGTTGGTTTTTACTGGTCAGATAACTTCAAAATATAATAAATTATTCTAAATAATTAATGCAAATCTCAAATTCACATGAATATGCTGATAATTATGGAAGTCCTTATTTTGCATAGTTGTTTATGCATAGTTGTTTTATTCTTCAGCATGAATGCGTCTCCCTTTGCATACGGCATCTAATCTTCTTCTCAGCACTGCTTTAGTCGAGCTGTCTTTTATGAACTTCGTGTTTTATATTTCTTTCTATTTTCTCATCTCATTCACAGTATATATCTCTATAATATATCTAAATATGTGCTTGAAAATTCCAGTCTTATTTCCCTGGGGATGCAAGTGTGAGTGTCAAATCACCTCCCCGCTGCATGATTGCCTGAAATAGCATCCATATAAATGTATTTACAAATAGATAGTTGATGAAAGGTTCACCACCTCCTAATCTGCCATCTTCAAAGTCAAATTGCAGTGCTTTTACATGAGCAGAAGATAAGAGGAGCCCTTTAAATTCTGCCGGAAAATGCGCTCTTATTTTTAGCCTGATGCAGCTCAGACCCTGCTGAAGTATCTTACGACTTCTCGCGCAAAATGTGATAATTCTCACCTTCAGTTGAGAGTGACATATTGAACAGCTAGTTCCATATGTTCTGGATGCGTGATGCCCTGCTAGAGAATAAAGTTCATTTTAGGGTGTGAACATTTCATGAGTTGGTTCTCTCATTATTTTCTCACCCTCATGCCATTTCAAACCTATATGACTTTCTTTCATCTGTTGAACACAAAAAAAAAGACATTTGTTTTGGTAAATTCGTATTGCTTTCTTTAAAAAGAATTATGTGAATGGTGACCCGGGTCACGCTCTTAAGGCCCATTCACACCAATAACTATAACGGTAAAGATATAGTTCTAAAAATCGTTTTAAATGTAAAAGAATAGTAGTCCACACCACAACTGTAAGGATAACGGCACAGATAAACTATATTGTTGGAATCACTTTTAGAATGATCTTTTCCAGCTGATAAATGATAAAAACACTGACAGCCAATCAGAATCCATGCTGCTTTAAGAGCTCAAACATTTAAAGCGACAGAACTGCATCGTGCACTTAGAATAAACAGAACGTTATTGTCTGCTGGTGTGGATACTTATATAGTTATTGATGGTTATCTTTTTTAGATATCGGTCTTGGTTTGACTGGGCCATTTTAAAGGACAAAAAAGCACCATAAAAACATCATAAAACCCAATTTATACACTACCGTTCAAAAGTTTTAGGTCTGTAAGGCCTTTTTTTTTTAAAGGAGTTTCTTATGCTTATCAAGGCTGCATCTATTTGATCAAAAATACAGTAAAAACAGTAATATTGTGAAACATTATTACAATTTGAATAACTTATTTTATTTTAATATATTTTAAAATGTAATTCATTCCTGTGATGTCAAAGCTGAATTTTCAGCATCATCACTCCCGTCTTCAGTGTCACATGATCCTGCAGAAATTATTCTCTTTGAAAGAAAGTTTTTTAATTTTGGGGTAAATTATTCCTTTAATTAAACCAGAGTATTCTGCTCTAAATAAATGTAACAAGTAGTTTGCAACAGATGCTACCCCAGTCTCTGAGGAACCGAAATGTTGTCATGCATTTAATGGTTTTTATTGCAGTGGTGAAGTTACAGGTGGAGGAGGCAGAATCCAATATCACCGTACCTGAAGATGGATCAATCCGGCTGGGCTGCAGCATTCTGTCTCAGTCCTCAAAAGATTCCCGCTTCTCTGTATCCTGGTACGTGTACCGTTTGGGACAAGAAGAGGAGGATGAGCAAGAGTGTGTCTTTTCCATCGGCCATGATGCAGTGTTCGGTAATGGGAACTGCAGCCCTACAGAGGAACCCGGTCCAAACTCTCGCCTGCAGTTTGAACGCACCACCTCTGACCTGTACAGTCTGACCATCCAGAAAGCTCGGCCCAGAGATGCAGGCAATTACTACTGCCACGTGGAGGAGTGGCTGCTGAACCCACGCAATGCATGGTACCGCCTCGCCACCAACAACTCAGGAGTCACCATTGCTAATGTTATGGAGCAGGGTGAGGTTTTGCACTTTATAACCACTAACCACATCAACACAAAGTACTTCTGGTTTTTAATATTTTCTTTTGCTTTTACACTGTCCACCAGGCCCTGTTTAGGCCTGGTATGAAGATGTGCTTTAGTCAATTGGGTCACAATTGTACAACAATAAATACAGGTGTAAACGGGGGCTAAAAGGTTTTGAGCTTGTCCACTTTCGACCACTTCCAGAGGTAGTCGAAAACTCATTTAACTGGATTGCTGTCAGTTTGTGGTCAAATGCGTCCGAACAGCCACAAAAGACCGTCTATTCTCCGATTACTGACTTAACGTGTAAACATTATGGGAAGCGTGCTAGCCAGACAGGATTTAAACTTTGTCGGCTGAAGACCCAAGTTTGGACATGAAGATGTGCTTTAGTCAATTGGGTCACAATTGTACAACAATAAATACAGGTGTAAACGGGGGCTAAAAGGTTTTGAGCTTGTCCACTTTCGACCACTTCCAGAGGTAGTCGAAAACTCATTTAACTGGATTGCTATCAGTTTGTGGTCAAATGCGTCCGAACAGCCACAAAAGACCGTCTATTCTCCGATTACTGACTTAACGTGTAAACATAATGGGAAGCGTGCTAGCCAGACAGGATTTAAACTTTGTCGGCTGAAGACCCAAGTTTGGTTTGAAGACAAAAAACGTAGGAAGCACAATGTTCTCTCACCATTGATTTCTAACACGCACTCACAGCGTTCTGCGTGGTCTTCCGGGCTCCGGCTATCAGAGCAGAAATGAAAGCTGCTGCTCTCCGTATGTTTTTCCATTGTCTCCTTTCAAGTTCACATGTAAATTGCGTGAGCTTATTTTGTCCAATAGATCAAAAGATCTGAAAAACCCCATACATTTACCTGCCCATAGACTCTCCTCTCAAAGAAATCAGGACAGAAGTGGTTGAACGTGGATAAAAGAGATGGATTAAAAGTAAACAAGGTGTAAATCGAAATGTCTCCCTCATCTACTTTTGATCTGATCGACCAAGACGCATCTTAATACTAGGTGTAAACAGGGCCTCACAATGCAACATTTTGCAACAGATAGATAGATAGGCTCCAAACTGCACAGGATATTGTAATCTCACAAAATGCCCCTTGATACCTCTGACAAGTAACATTTATGAGGTCATGGGACAACAGTATAGTGTAGAACTTAAAACATTTTGTTGCACAATGCCTACTGTTTCACCTTACTTTTTTAATAAATAGTTGGCAGTATGCAATGTATAGTACACAGCATTGTAACAGTTCAGGCTTCAAGCCCAGATAGTCAGCTTGTGTTAGAGCTGCATTAACACGGAAGACAGGATTTATCGCTTGTTATTTTATCATGTTGCTTTGGACACAGTGTTCACAGTGCTCTCTTTTTGTTTTAATAAATATTTAACTCACAGGTTAAATTATTCTAACTCTCTGTCATGCTTCTCCCTCCTCTCTAGTCTCTACCCTACAGTCAGTGGTTTGTTCCAACGACTCCCTCTTCTACTTTGTTTTCTTCTACCCCTTCCCTATCTTTGGCATCCTCCTCATCACGGTCCTGCTGGTGCGATACAAGAGCCGCAGCTCCAGCAAAAACCAGGAGGGCAAGAACGGAGCGCCGCTCCTGTGGATCAAAGAGCCCCACCTCAGCTATTCCCCAACCTGTCTGGACCCCCCAGCCCTCAGCCTTCACCCTGGCTCTGTGGAGTAACAGTGACACAAACACGACCCCGTCTCGCTCTGAGACTCGCTCATCTACACTCTCTCTCTGACTCCCTCTCTCTTTTTCGTCTCTCCTCGTCCGTGATGAGGCCACCAGAAAGTAATCTGGGCTTCTAGCCTGGCCTGACCTTCCTCAGTTGAAGTTGCGGCTACTGGTGGTGATGCCTAGACGTTTGCTTTGCTTTCTTTTTCCTGATCTTTTTTTTAAAAAAAAACATGATTTTACTTTTCATTCATGCTCTTTTGTGAGAACCTTTCCTTTGAGGTGGCAGTATCCGTGAGCCTTGATGTATTTTACCTGACTGACGCCAACCTCGTTTTCGTTTTGCTTTTTGTATTCCCGTTAATGAAGTCTGGTGGAAACCATTGCATATTATTTGTTATTTTGTCTGTGCTGATATTTGCTTCAGAAGACTGGAAGGTCATTGCTGGACCATGAACGTTTCTAGTGACAATGGTGTATTGATGAAGGAAAAAAGGGACAATATTTCCTTGAAAAACCTTGGAAAGCTGACGATAGGATGTATATTGATTTTGTTTGTGGGCACGTGCCACAGAACTGCCTGTTTAAAAGGATACAGAAAGCCCTCATTGCCCACCGACTCGAGGATATACATGAACCCTAGCTCATCCTCACTGCCAAAGACCAGTTCAACTTCAAAAGCCACAAATTCAAATTCAAAGACTCCGAATAGGATTAGACGTAGGTAACGTGAGCCATCTGATGTCATCCAGTTGGAAAAGACAGTCTTGACACTGACATGTTTCCTCATCACTGGAGCTCAGATGTTTCCTCATGTCCTCAAATTTCACATTTCATTTCTAGTTATTCTTGACCTTCCCAATGTTAAGATCAATTTATCTCCTGAAAAAAAGCTTTTGTATTTGTGTCTGTGTGTTTGATTGTGTATATACAGTATACACAACTGACCCCACATTTAGTGAGCGTTCGCCTCAGTGTCCTCGAATTTTCATAATGCAAGGTTGAATGGAAACAAAAGGGGCATGAAGGGCTCCAGAGTTTTTGAATTTCTTGTAAAAACAATGTCTTGAGGGAGACGGCTGACAGGACACTACCTACTCAAGGGACATTCTCAGTGCCAAGACCTTTTTATCATCATACGTGCCCTGTAATGATCCAGGAGGAACGCAGAAATGGGCAGGCTTCTGAATATATGAGTTATGAAGGGATTAGACATTTTGTTTTATCTATATTCTACGTCACATCAAGTGTTGTTTTTCTTCTCTTTATGGGTTTGTGTTTAAAATATGGTGCCCGATTTGTTACCGCTAAAAAAAGTGAAAAGATTGTGAAATCTTAATGCGCCGTCTCATATCCTGTAACCTGTGAAGACCTAATAGTGTGATTATATCTCTTGAGGGTGAATTTACCATCTAAATTATTGTCGGTCTCCATAAACATTTCAAAAACACTGCCATATTTTAACACTGAAGATGCTATAACAATACTTGATCATCGCATTTGCTCTGCAATCCACACTAGTCCTGTTTCATTAAAGAAGGATTCAACCTCCATACTGAAAGCATTTAGAGCTAGCTGTAGCGTGAATTAATGAATTGTATGTAAAATTTTCTTTCCTGTTCAATTTAAACACGGACTACCAAACATAATGTGTTGTCTAGTAACAGCAACATGCGTTCTGACACCAAACTGGATGGGTCTCACTTGTAGACAACATTGGTGACCTTCTGACAGTGCAACTTTCACTCTGTTCTCACAGTCGCTCAGAGTGTCACTGCCGCCCTCATGTGATCTCGATAGTCAACATCACAGCTTTTCTGTAAATGAAATTTAGATCCACTTGAAGCTTCTGGTCGTCTTATTTATTGAATTATAAAACTCCTAGATAGAATATGTGAACTTCATAAATCTGCATAGACAGAATGTGGCAGAAATAGCAGTGAACATTTAGGCAACTACAGTATAATATGGCTAATTAGCGTGTCTAGAGGCTTATGAGACATGATTCTGAACCAATCTGTGAATCTTCATAAAGATGATACAGTGGTTTAGCTCTCTTTATCTACTAAATTTTGTTGAACTGTACAGTGCATGATGAGTAAGGGGGTGATGAAGCTGTGTGTTGTGACATCATGTCAGATCAATGGCATCTTCATCATCTCCACCTTGTGGAAGGCCTCGCTGATTCAACACACCTGTTCAATTGAATGAATGTTAGCCATTCTAACACAGCGACCCTCAAATGTAATGTAAAATGTAATTATTTGATCAATAATGTCAGCCTTCCTCAAGCAGGAGATGTGTAATGTGGCATTGAGTGTGATATTGCAGTTCTGCTGTCATTCCGTCTGTACAGAATTATTCAGAACTCTAAATAGTGTTTTTGTAGTTCAACATGCCCAGCTGAATCATAATGTTGTAAATGCATTTCGAGGGCTGCATGTCATGGCTGTGTACTGGCAGTATAGCTGCAGAAAAACAAAACAAATGACAAAAAATATTGTGTTGATGTGTGTTCAGTTCAGCCAGTGCTGCTTTTTCAAGTGGTGATTTTTATGTTCTTTTTTATAACCAAAATAGTGCACTGAATATTTAAAAAAACTTGCCATGTTTTTTTATGCTTCTGTGTTTTTGTTGTACTCCATTGTGTTTTTTATATCGATACTTATTTTATTCAATTGTAGCAATTGCTATTATGAAAAGGCACTTTGCTATTGTCAGTTGATTGCAATAAAACGTTCAGTGCACAGCATTTTAGATTGTGTTTATATAATGTATCAATTTACAAATGTTAAGAGTTACAGCTGTTAACTGAAATATCTTTTCAAACCTGTAAGACTGAACATTCCTACATTGATTTTGATTGTATTTTTAGACATTTTTCAATATCTTTGTTTATGTTCCACAGAAGAATGAAAGTCATACAGGTTTGGAACAACATGACAGAATTTGCGTTTTTGGTTGAACTGTCCCTTTAAAATAAGCTTTTGAATTTACCATTACAATTTTTAGTACAGTTGCGTTCAGCTAAAGAATAAGGTTTCTGTACTTTTCTTTCACACACCTTAATAAATAACAGAAGCATTTGCGAATCTCTTCACTCCTTGACCTCCAGGGCTTTGAAGAGAGTGGAAAATCCCGTCTCTAAAGACACCATCTTAAAGGTGAGAATGGGATCTGACATATCTTCCAGTGTCTTATCGGGTCTGTTTGACTCAGATGCTCTGGGTTGTGGGGTGGATGAGTTGGGTGGCTGCAGGCTGGTGTGTTATTATAACAGGCCAGTGCTTGTTAACCTCCAGAGCAGTGTGGAGGAATCATACTGAGAGTTGCTGTCCCTTCCAGCTGCTCACAAACCTGGTTTAATGATGGACAGTGGCCAGTTTCAGCATCTGGCTGAATTATGATGTCTGGATGAAGACGAGCCTTTGTGCTTTGTTTACCTAATGTTTTGTGATGGTCTGTTCTGTATGTGTAATTGCAAATTATAGCAGTTATCTCCTAGCCCCTCAAATTTAGCATCCTGGCTTTGCTGATATTTTACCCAAACTCAATGGAATGTTTCACTTTTGTAAAACTATTCTTGTTTTACTCTCTTCAAAGTCTGTGCGCTGCTTGGTGACACTTCTTTTGTAGCCATTTTCACTGGCAGAGAAAAGAATATACAATATAACTGCATGGCCAATTTTGTCAGAAACCCAGTTACTTCAGTAGGTCTCTTACACCCTTAATGAAGCCCATTTAAATGATGAGAAAACACTTTTGAATTTAAAGACCCATTGAAATCGATTTGCAAGCAGAGTTTGAATGGGGCATATCAAATGCTCATTTTTGGCTTTTGTTAGGTCATGGTCATTAACTATAATTAAGTTGTAACTTGCTAGTTAGTTGCAGATTTTATTTGGCGGAGAGATTTTCTCATTCTAGAGAGCATTTGAATTGGACAAATATTTGAGAAAGACTATAAGTCCTAAAGGTGCGGTATGGGATATTTGGTACTCTATAGCGGATGAGGCGAGTTACTCCCGAAAGAACATTGTTTTGCTAATTACATGAGTTGGGCTTCGGCTAAGCTATTCAGCGTAGATGAATATGATGATTTGAGGTGATGATTATGATTATAATAATATTTTTCAACTGTAATTTATGGCAAAGCTGAATTTCAGCATCATTACTCCAGTATTAAGTGTCACATGATCCTTCAGAAATCATAAATCATTATAATATGCTGATTTGCTGCTCAAGAAACACTTATTATTATCAATGTTGAAAACAGTTGTGCTGCTTAATATTTTTGTAAAAACAGTGATGTGTTTTTTATAAAAAGTTCGAAAGAACATAATTTATTTGAAATATAAGTCTTTTGTAACATTATAAATGTCTTTACTGTTACTTTTGTTCAAAAAAATATTTACTGACCCCAAACTTTTCAATGGTACTGTCTTCCACTTTTGTTTTGTCTCTTTTAAAATAAATAAAAGAAAAATGTCAAACTGGCAGCTCAAATTATAAATCGTTATAAGTTATAACTATGTATAATTTGAGCTGCCAGTTTGACATTTTTCTTTCATAACATTATTTATTTTAAAAGAGACTGTAAAAAAACTGTAAAAAAAAAATATTGTTGGTTTACCTTAAAATTTTAAGTTAATTAAAATTAAAAAATTGAGTTGATACAATGGAGATTGGTTTAATCGACAGAAACTCAAAATATGATGTTATATGAATAACATAAATTAGACAAGTTGATTAGACAAAAGAAAAAATGTTGTGATAAATCATGTACATCATTTTTTACAGTGTACAGTTGTGAATCTGAGTATGGCAAGGAGAACGTTTGTGCTTGTTTAAAGATTTGTGTTCATTTTTAACCAAAAAATCTTGTACATAACCTAAATATCTGCTAAATGTAAACATTTTGTAAACGTAATACGAGTACACTAGAATTTACACGACATCAAAGCAAATACAAATGAAGTGAAAGCCACAAACCTCTCATTTTAATTTCACGGGGACTTTAAGCTAAATCAGGCATGCAGTCGTGCTCTGTGGCTCATTATTTTATTTTGCAACGTTTGCAGTGGGTGTTGTTTTATATATTTTGCTCTATTTGTGAAGCAATGGTGTGCTGTGTATGAACGGTAATTA